GAGATCGAAGTGCGTCAGGAAGTGATGCGAGATGATCTTCAGGAGGGTGATAGCGAAATCACTCCAAGACAATAGCAACGAGTGCAGAGAGCACTCGGTGTGGATGAGGAGGGGCTCATGGTCAAGGAGACGACGCATGAAGGAAGCCAAGTCCTCAACAGAAGTGGGTCGAAAGGTAGTTCGACAGGTGCGTCAGATCGTGATGCAGTACTTGTAATCTATTCCGCTGCAGCAGGGGCTATATCATGATTACTGTGATGGAAGGCTTGACATCTAAGCATCTGTGTTTTAGCTTAGTATGCAATCAAGCAGGGGGAGAAGTGGTGACGTTCTAGTCCAAGGAGTGCATATCTTATGGGGGAGAAGAGCATGGTGATGGACGTCCTGAAGTAGATGGTGCTTATCTCATGGGGGAGAAAAGCATGGTGTGGTGCACATCTCGTGGGGGAGAAAAGTACATTTGGTATGGAAAGTTCCAAGTGTGGAACGTGGTTGTTGAACCAGAAGGATGTTGTGCTTGATTGGCACACAAAGCTAAAAGGGGGAGATTGAAGATGTAAGATGTCCGCCCTGAAGTAGTCGCTGACGTAGTTGCTGAGGCAGACGTCGTGTTGAGTGGTGAAGACCATGTGGAGTCAAGATGCTGAGCTGGAGTCGTATAGACTTGGAGAGCAAGGGTGTATCTTAGAGAAAAGGCAAGAGGAATAAACTTGAGGAGCAAGTTTATGACTTAAAGAAAGAGGAATAAGTGCATTTCAAGAAAAGGAAAGTTGCACTTAATGTTATGGAAGATGTCCATATTGTGTTCCTTGGAGACTAGGGTTTCAGGAACGTGGAGAATAAGTATAAGACAGCAAGGGGGTCGTCTGTAGAGAGACAGAGACACAGAGGCTAATCTTATATAGAGAGAGAGAAGCTCTTAAGGTGTTCTTGGGTCGTGCTGAAGCAGAGGCTGAAGTACTTGACGGCAGAGAGACATAAGTGAGTAGCTTAGGAATCTTTCAGTGACGTGTGTTAGGGTGTTAACACTAGACGTGTAAAGCTGAATAAACAAGGTCTTGTAAAGATTGTTTAAAGAAGATTTGAATAAAGCTATTGGNTTGACGGCAGAGAGACATAAGTGAGTAGCTTAGGAATCTTTCAGTGACGTGTGTTAGGGTGTTAACACTAGAC